CAAGAAAAGAATCCGAGAGCATGGGTACTGATTCTAGGAGGTTATTCGATTCTGTGGTAGGAATATGAGCACTAGCATGAAATTACTTAAATGCCGTCCATAAAATAGAAGTTTAGGTCATCAATCAAGGTTATGGAGGTCTGAAGAGTGAGAAGATATGAAGTAGTCACCTTGGAGAATGAGAAAGTAAATTTGCCAGGAAAAAATAGGACTGCCGACTGGTGGGAATGTTTCAGTGGTGGCAGTCAATGCAGAGTGAAACCAGAAAGCGCAGTTGTGTTCTACCCTTTGATGTTCAGCTGCCAACACATAGACAGATAGATTGGAATTTGCCAGGCACATGACTGAGAAAGAAAGTGTCAAAGGAATCAAGAATGTGCTACAAAAGAATGATTATAATGAAGAACCATGAAATGGGTATGAACATATGTAAGGATATAAGGGGAGAAATTAATAATAAAAAAAAGTGGGAGGGTCAACAGTGGTGGTACAAGACAAAGTGAGTGCAAATATCGGAGTCATACAGGGTAGGAGGCTCAAAACCAGAGATCCGGGTGACTGACAATTAGAACTACCAGGATGGTAATGGGAGCTGCTGGTTGAGGCAGAGGGGAGAAAACAACGGATAGAAGTGATTGGGTCTGGGAACTGTTGCATAGAAAACCTACCAGAAATCACGGCAGGATTAAGGGATGGGGGAAACAGTAAGCAACATACTGTAGTCCTCAGGGAAGAAGAGTAGATGACCAGGAAATTGCACCATGAAGGGGTTCGGATTGGAAAATCTAACGGTATAAACTTCAGAGGAGATGGACACGTGTGTGTGTGTGTGTGTGTGTGTGTGTGTGTGTGCGCGCGCGCATGCGTGCACACGTTCTTGTTTTTTGGTTTTCCGGACAAGAGGTAACAATGAGGAGCAAGATCCCTATCCCATCATCCCACCCCTACAAAATCTTACAAAAGGAAAGGAAAGGTAAAATCAGCTTCCACCTTACATACACACACAATAGAATATTATTCAGCAATGGAAAAGAGTGAAATCTTGCCGTTTGCAACAACGTGGATGGAACTAGAGTGTATTATACTAAGTGAAATAAGTCAGAGAAAGACAAATATTATATGATTTCACTCATACGTGGGATTTAAGAAACAAAACAGATGAGGGGCGCCCAAGCAGCTCAGTCGGATAGGCATCCGACTCTTGATTTCAGCTCAGGTCATGATCTTGCACTTTGTGGGTTTGAGCCCCGTGTCAGGCTTCTCTGCTCCAAGCGGGGGAGCCTGCTTGAGATTCTCTCTCTCGGCCCCTCCCCCCATCTCAAGATAAATAAACATTAGAAAAAAGAAATGCAACAGATGAACATAGGGGAAGGGAAGGAATAAACAAGATAAAAACAGAGAGGGAGGCAAACCATAAGAGACTCTTAAATACAGAGAACAAACTGACGGGTGCTGGAGGGGAGGTGGGGGGGGATGGGCTAAACGGGTGATGGTCATTGAGGACGGCACTTGTTGGGATGGGCACTGGGTGTTGTATGTAAATAATGAATCACTGGGTTCTACTCCCGAAACCAATACTACACTGTATGTTAACTAACTTAAATTTAAAGAAGTGAGGTTTTTTTAATAAAAAAAATCACCTCCCATTAGAGAAGACTACAGGGGAAGCTGTGCCTTTGGGGTACAGCCAGCTATAAGCTGTGGAGTACTAATACCAGTGAATATCATGAAATAGAAGAAATCACCAAGGAAGGCTGTTGGTATAGGAGAAAGGAAGAGGGAGAGGTTTTGAATCCTGGAGAACAGTGACATCAAAATCTTACCCCTAAATTTTAAATATTATGTATGAAAATAACACGTGCATAATTTTAAATCTCAAACAATACTCAAAAGTTTATCATAAAAAAACCAGATTCCTACCTTTGCCCCTCTCCATGACTACAGTCTCCAGAGACAATGTCTCAATTGGACCCTCACCTTTTCTTGTTAATCTGTCTCTACATATTGAACTCCACATCATAGTTCTACCTCTTTATTCATTGATATCAGGTGTTAGGTATTAGCTGGTGACTTCCTAATGATGGCGGAGAAAGACTCAGCTCTTGCACAACTCACCTCTCTACCCCACCACACCACCCAACCAACATCTCAGCGATTTTTGGTGAAATCATTAATCGGTGTTTACACTTTAATAATGTATAGTAATGCTTCTGAGGAAACTGACAGTCATTTGTAAGCATAGATCCTATCTTACTTAACATTTCATTTTTCCTGGAGTTGATAATTACCCCATGTTTTCATTTGCTTGACACTCTAACGTGCCTCTGACACTCTGACATATTTTTTTTACAAAATTCTCCAGCATCTCTGTCACCTACCTACTGATAACTTTTTGCAGCACTCAAACACACTGGTTCCATTTTTTCCCTCCTGGAGACCTGAGTCCTCCCTGAGGACTCCACATTTCTGATTCAATCTGGACTGGTTTTTCTCTAGGCCTGCTATGTAGCTTTTATTTTTAGGACTTCCCTTTGCTGCCCTCCCTCCCCTTTCCCAGATCCTGTGTCTTCCTGTTTCTTGGTTTACTTCTGCATTTTCATAGAACATATTCTCCCATACCTTGCCAGGAAAGTTGCATAGGAGATAAAGATTCTGAATCCCTAAATATCTGAAAATGTGTATATTCCACTACTATACTTGATTGATAACTTGATGAGGTCTAAAATATCTCTAAATAGACATATTATTCTACATGTGATTCTTGAATGCATTTGTAACTAAATTAATATGGTAAATGTTATAAATAGGAAAATGAGTGAATGAGATGTGAGGAAGTTGAGACAAGGGTAAATTTTTTTTTAACTTGATTTTAGAAAGACAGAGGAGAGGGGGATGGACAAAAAGGATGAAGGGAAGTGGGAGATACAGGCTTTCGGTTATGGAATGAATAAGTCATGAGAAGAAAAGGCACAGCACAGGGACTCTGGCTAACGGTACTGTAATAGCATTGTGTGGTGACAGATGGTAACCACACTTGTGGTGAACATAGCGTGATGTATAGAGATATCGAATCACCGGGTGCCTGGGTGACCCCATTGGTTAAGCCTCAGACTCTTGATTTTGGCCCAGGTCATGATCTCACCGGTTGTGGGATCGAGCCCCACCTCAGGGATGCCTGCTTGGGATTCTCTCCCTCTCTCTCTGCTCCTCCCCTGCTCACGTGCTCCCCCTCTCTCTCTTTCTGTCTCTCAAAATAAATAAATAAATAAATAAATAAATAAATAAATAAATAAATAAA